AGTATGGATTAAATTCGAGAACTTTTAATTTTTTGTTCGGACATTTCAGGAATTTTGCCTCATATGTGCTTTTAAATTTAAAATTTTTAATTTAAATTTACGTGCAGAAATTTTGAAAGGACCCTGGCAGGGCAAGAAGAAGCTTAAAATCCGCCTGAAACAGGGAACACGATCGGGGCCACAGGAGAGCGCCCTACTTCAACCCGATTAAAATTGATTAAAACCGGGGCCCGACCAGGGCCTGGTTTGGCCTCGGTCGGGTTCTCTGTTTCACCCAGGTCAAGGCCAGGTTGGCAAATTTCTGCACGGATACATACGTGTACAAATATTTTCATTTAGTTCTGATACACTACAGTATTTCTGAAAGTATCAAAATGAAACCATAGATTGCATCAAATCATGTATATATATATATATACTAGACAAAGACTGCGCGCGCAAAGCGCGCGCCTTTTTCGTTTTTGTTTAGTACTTAGTCAAAAAGAAAGCGAGTTATTAAATTTTTCTAAAAATATATAAAGTTGTTGCATAATTAATTTAAATTTTTGTTAATATCAGCAAAATACTTTGTAACTGCACTTTTATTACACTAATTACACATAATTGTCAGTCTAACCATTTCTTGACAATCATAGAAAATTTAAAAAAGAGCCCGTGGAGAAGTTTCCCTAAGTTTCCTTATCGAAAACTAAAATTTGGTAAGTTTCTGATATGGAAAAATGCAGAATTCTGGTTAGGTCCTGATGTTTTTGGTGACGCTTGTTTTTCTCAAAAATTAGTTTTAATGGTTAATAGTGAGAAGAATAACAAGAACCCTACGATTGCCCTTTGAGAACTTTCAATTTAACTTTTATTTAACTTTCAATTTTTGATTAATTATAATTTCAGGTTATATTACTATATTATTCTTTATAAAAAATATAATTAAACTGTAAAAAGAAAATTCGTAGTTTATATAATTCATTAGAAAATATAATGAATTTAAATTATTAAGAATGTGAAAATAATTGTAAATATGAGGCAAAATTCCTGAAATGTCCAAACAAAAAATTAAAAGTTCTCGAATTTAATCCATACTTTTCTAAAATATTATTGAATTTAATAAAATAGTTTTTGAATTACAACGTTTTTAATGTTTGACTTTTGAAAAAAAAAATTTTTTCAATGTACAATATTTATAAGTAGAATGCATAAAAGTTAACATATATATAATGATTTTTAAAGCTTTTTTGACGGGCTACACGCTGTTAATAAAATTTTTTTTTTAAATAACATTCCGCATCCAACGAGCCCTGTATGAAGTATTTTGGATAAGTAGATTGTTAATAAACAATTAGTTAACATTGCAATTGTTTATTACCAGTCTACTTATCCAAAATACTTCATATAGGGCTCGTTGGATGCGGAATTACGTTAAGTTTCAATTGGTTAATTTAGATTTACGATAACTTTATTTGTTTGTAAGATATTTCATTTTTTATTGTTATTTAACTAAAATTGAACAAAAATACTTCATATGGGGCTTTTGGATGCTTGTTGTTAGTAAAAAATAAAATATTTTACAAACAAATAAAGTTATGGTAATTCTGAACTTACCAATTGAAAGTTAAGGTAATTCCGCATCCAACGAGCCCTATATGAAGTATTTTGGATAAGAAGATTGTTAATAAACAATTGCAATGTTAACTAATTGTTTATTAACAATCTACTTATCCAAAATACTTCATACAGGGCTCGTTGGATGCGGAGTTACGTTAAGTTTTAATTGCTAACTTCAGAATTACGGTAACTTTATTCGTTTGTAAAATATTTTATTTGTTATAAACATTAATTAATTAATTAATTAATATCTCAAAAACTTTAAAAGATCCCACTCTGAAAATTACATGTTTTGTAGGAAATTAGTCAAGCTTTCCATTGAGATAGTTAAAAAAAATTTTTAAAAATCCGATTTTGAGATAAACGTACATTAACATTTTGACCTTGAATTTCAAGGTCAAATGTTATTTAAAACAAAAAATTTTATTAATAGCGTGTAGCCCGTCAAAAAAGCTTTAAAAATCATTATATATATGTTAACTTTTATGCATTCTACTTATAAATATTGTACATTGAAAAAAAAAATTTTTTTTTCAAAAGTCAAAAATTAAAAACGTTGTAATTCAAAAACTATTTTATTAAATTCAATAATAATTGATTTTTAGACTTTCACCAACAATAAAAACATTTAAGAAAAGTATGGATTAAATTCGAGAACTTTTAATTTTTTGTTCGGACATTTCAGGAATTTTGCCTCATATGTAGCAATCAATTCGAAGATATTAAAAAATAAAAATGTCTTATTTAATGGTAAAATCTCCTTGAACTTTGAGAAATTATTTTGTATGATGTTTTTGTAATACAAAAATTATTTTATTAAACCTTAATATATTACCATATATTAACTATTTAAAATATTTTAATCCCAAAAATACAATTTTTTAAAAAAATTATTAATATACTCTGGCACATTATAACAAAACCTTTTACTATTTTTGAGTTGTCAAAATCTGCGCAGAATATATTTATATGTGAAATCACAAAAAAAACAGAAGATGCTTTCGCGACAAAAATTGATTTTAATTAATCATATTATTCTATTTGCTGCTTTTTTTAAGGCCTACCCTTATAATGTTATTCTTGTTCCTTAATAAATATATATGACAGTCATAATTTTATAAATAAAAAAGATTATAATTTTATAAAAACATTGAGGTGAGATTTTAAATATTTTCTTGACAAAAACAATAAAATATTTTGTTTATAATTTTCTCTTTTACAAATTATTGATCGAAAAATTAAGTAAAATAGTTTTTATGCAAGAATATGTAAACATTTAAATAGAAAAATATTTGTTCTTCTAAATCGTTGATTAGAAATCGTTGTGAACCTAGTAATTTATTAATTATTAGACTAACTATTTGATTTCAGCACATGCACAAAATAACAATATTCCTGGTAGCACAATATAAAAATCTTAATTGTAAGTTTCGTGTTAAAATGATACTGGTCCAAATTTTCTACTATTTATAATAAATAATATAACCTTAAATTATCATTCAATAAAAATGATAGTAAGTTGAAAGTAATCGAAAGACGGTCGTAGGGTTCTTACTATTGGGTACTATGAATCATTTTTATAACGTTTATTTTACTTGTAAGTATATAATTAAAACTTGAAATAATTGAAAAAATACATTTTCATTATTAATAAAAATTAATTAATCATTATTCTTAGTAGAACTTATTTAAAAACAATTATAAGATTATGATGCTGTACAAATTTTCTAATATATTTGTGCATCAGTAGAACCTTATTCGGACTGAATGTATTATATATACATAACATGCTTGCATGAAGAAAGAAACTAACGCATACAATGCTTTTATTCATATGTGAGTGTATATTCGTATATACGGGCTAAACGTGTCTGATAATCGTGCTTGTAAGACGGAGAAAGACGAAGATGACGAATAACACTTCGACCAATATGGGATACAGGTTACTGTGACAAAACTTCGAGAGTTTATCGATTAGAGATTTATTATATAGGATATATACATACAGGGTGTTCCAAAAGTATGGAAACTTGCAAATATCTCGAAAAGTACGAATTTTCGTGAAAAATGTTCAATACAAAAGTTGTTCCAAACAAAAAGATCTACATTGTTGAAACCAAAAAATTGTGCCCCGGGCCCAATGTTGGGCCCTACAATGAAAAAAGTAGTTTTCTTAAATGAGACCACTAATTTTGAATATCAAATGCGTAATCCCCATGAAATTGTGCGTTCAGACATGTGGTATAAGTGCCGAAAATATTGGGCCTAATCCAAGATATCGGGCCCAACATTTTTCGACAAAGAAATAAATTAAAAAAATTGTATCTTTAGGGGTTTTTGGGTTCACAAGATTACAAAATTCAAAGCTACTTTTCAAATTGGGCACAGAGCCCAATGTAAGGCCCACAGTAAAAAAAATTAGTTGTCTAAAATAAAACCCACTAATTTTTAGTATCCATTTTGTAATCGTCATGAAATTTTGGATTTAGTTTTGTAGTACACTAAAACGTCAATCGAAAACAGAGCAAGGGAACACTTGAGGGGAAGTGGGGAAGCGGGTAGAATTTAGGTTATGACTGACGCCAAAGTCGTACGTGTGAATTTTAAATTTAAGGTGGATTCAGTGCCCCACTAGTGAAAATCCCCTAGAGAAAATTCACATTGTTGCGCAAGGCACTTCATACGGCCCTGAGTGTTTTTGTTTTCCAGCGATAAAAATCGCGTCAATCGAGAACAGCACTGCACATTCGTCTGTTCTCGATTGACGTTTTAGTGTACAAATGCCAAAAATATTGGGCCCAATATTGGGCTTTTACTTTTACGGAACTCCTTGTTTTCCGTGCGAGTGTAACTTGGACTTGTCTGATTTTTTTGTAGTAAAATCTTTTTTATCGACGGCTGATAAAACAGATTAGACCTATTAAATCGATTATAATGCTTGGTTCACAAAAAAAAAAAATGTTTTACCTACTGCTCATAAAACAGTTTTGATTGTTTAAAACTATTTTACCGAGTACTAATATAAGAGTTCACTGATTATTAAATACGCAATAATTCACCCTGACAAAACTATTAAACCGACTTATGAATCTGATATCGGATTTTCAAAATTTTAAATAAATTAAATATGAGAGTTTTTTTTTTTAAATTTGCGAGGATTTACAAGATCGCTTGTTATGAATCAATATATTTTAAAAAAAAAATTTAATTTATTGTAATACATTGTGATATCATCATTTGATTGTGAATGTAATTTTTATAATATCAGTTTTATTTAAATAGTTGCCATTTTGAATTCGTTAAAAGAATACATAATATGTATAAAATTGAAGACCAACATTTTGAATAAGTAAATAGAATTTAAAGAAAACATTTATTTTCTAATAAATATTAATCATTTTCACATTTTACGTTCAAATTTAAGAATTGCAAATTTTTAAGTTTATTCATTGTAGAGAAAAAAAATATAATAGTCACACATTGTTTTAAATTCTCGACAATTAGTGCACTTACCCTACACCTGGTTTATTTGCCACTGGTAAAATATAAACAGAATGTTGAAGGAGATTCACTGAAGGAAGGTAAATCTTTTATATCTCATTGTTTAAAATATATTTTTTTACTTTATTAATTTGTCGTCGATAATCCTTTTTTTTTTATTCTTATCAAGTCTGAAATTACCTAATTTTGGTATTCCAAAGTAAATTTTTAACCTCTTCATTTTTTTGTGATATTTCTTTAAAAAATGATTTTTGGAAAAGCTCAAATATCAAGTTTTGAATTCTAAACATTTGTTATTTAGAATCAAAAAAATTTTTTGATTTATATTCACAGGTTTTGTAAAAAATTAGTAAATATATCAAAAGTATATTCGGGGTTAGGTGGCGCGGTTTGGCCGAGGTTGCATGGCGTAAATTGTTTTAATTTAATAATTGTTTTAAAATTATTAGAAAAGTTCATTAATCTGTTTAAAAATGAAATAATATTTTATATTCTTGTAAAAATTATATTTGTACACTGAAAAAAATTTGCTTCGCATTAATGCGACTATTAACCATAGCAACTTTAAATCTAGTCAGCGTAACCAAGCATCCTAGTCAATTCAGTTACGTAGCTTGGTTAATATTGTCAAAGTCGATTTAGTAGAATTGACCCCTTGTTTTCTAGTTATATTAACTAAGGTGTTTGGTTAATATCGCATGTATCTATAGTCAATTTTGCTAAAGTTTAATTAGTCAAAGTAATTCTAGCCAATATAACTAAGATACCTGGTTATTGTGATAAGCTGCCCAAGTCATTCCAACTAATTGTCGAAATCAACTTTGACCAAGATTACCTAGTGGGTTCCTCTCGTAATCAACGAAGCTGAAGTACGCAACGTTTATGATAAACGATTTTTAAAGAAATAATTTTTTAAAATAAAAAATTCTATAATTTTTTGCTAAAAATTTTTTTTATAATTTGTTGTTTATTGAAAACTACAAGAAATATTTTTTAGGCAAAAAATTATAGAATTTTTCATTTTAAAAAATGATTTCTTTAAAAATCGTTTATCATAAACGTTGCGTACTTCAGCTTCGTAGTAATCAGGCAAATTAGTCAATTCCTGGTATACGGGGGTCAGGAATTTTTTTCAGTGTATTTATTTTTATAATAATAATATTTTAGACAACATTTTTTTCAAAGCAACAATGGAATTATCGACATTGTCATGGATTTTATACGGAGTAATTATTTTCACAACATTTATTATAACAATTCTCTATTTTTATATGACGAGAAATTTTAAATATTGGAAAAAAAGGGGCGTTAAAGAAATTTCACCAACACCATTTGTTGGGAGTTTTGGAAAATATTTTAAACATGAAAAATCACCTGGTGCATTGTTTAAATATTTTTATGATCAAAATCAAGATTTACCTTATGTAGGAATTTACATTTTGGATAAACCATGTCTTTTAATACGTGATCCTGAATTATTGAAACTAATTCTCATAAAAGATTTTAATTACTTTTCGGATAAATTTATGCATTCGAGCAAAAAAGACATTATCAGCAATAATAGTTTATTTTTTATCGAAAATCCCTATTGGAAATATGTAAGGCAAAAATTTACTGCTCTATTTACAACTGGAAAAATGAAGAGTATGTTTGATAATGTGCGAGAAGTGGGAAATGATCTTGATAATTATTTGGATACTCTCGAGTTGGAAGGTATTTAACTTCATTTTATTTGAATAATTAAAGTTATTTCAAAACTATATAAATGCGTTATATTAATTTAATTTTATTATTTACTATTAAAAATTGCTTGTTATTATTTATTAATTATTTTGAATCAAATTTTTTCAATTTTTTTTTTGTAAAAAAAAAAGTGCTTGCTAAGAAATTGTCTATTATAATTATTTGACAGGTTCTGGTAAATCGGTAAACATTACAGAACTCGCTGGTAAATTTACAACCGATTTAATAGGACAAGCAACGTATGGATTAAAATTAAATAGTTTGAAAAATCCAAATGCTGAATTTCGTAAATTTGGAAGAGCAATGTTTGGCACTTATAATTTTAAAAGAGCTGTTGAACTCGCCACTGTTTGGCTTGCACCAGATTATACAACTTTGTTTGGATTTCGATTTTTTCTAAAAAGTGCAGCAAATTTTTTTCGAACAGCTTTTCAAGATATTTTAGATGAACGTAAAAAGTCAAAGTTGAATCGAAACGATTTTATTGACCTCATGATTCAACTACGAGATAATGAGAACAATAATTTAAATTCAAATTTATTTAGTATGTATAATTTGATAAAAATTTAATTCGCATATTATAATAACACTACAAAATAAAAATTAAAAATATTATTTAATTAAATAGAAATTATTTTATAATAATAACTTTTGCTTTTATCATCAAAGATTTTCTTCTTTTAATTAAATATTAAAAAAAAAAAAACTAAAAAATTTAAAATATTTTTATTATTTTAGAATTTCAAGGAGACAATTTATTAGCCCAAGCTCTTACGTTATTTGCAGCCGGTTACGATACATCATCGTCAACCATGAGTTTTGCTTTATTTGAATTGGCAAAAAATCAGGAAATGCAATTGAAATTAAGAGCAGAAATAAACGAAGCTATTAAAAAAAATAATGGACAAATAACATATGAAATTGTAAGGAAAATTTTATTAAAATTTAATACATTGAAATTAAAATAATTGTTTCAATTTAAAAAATTAGAAATGAAGTTCTTTCTTTTTATGTCATTTTAAAAATGTTTGAAAGAAAAATCTAAAGTTTCTGTCTTAATGTTCCTTAAATAATTCCCTTTACTTGAATTTAAAAGGTTTTTATCTTTCCCTTTTCTTTGTAGACATCAGATTTGGAATATTTGGATATGTTTATTTCAGAAATTCTTCGAATGTATCCGACATTACCCTTTGTCGATCGTAAAACGACAAAAAATTATAAAATTGAAAAAACTGGACTTGTTATTGAAAAAGGAACGCCAATATTAATTCCAATGCTTGGCTTTCATTATGATCCGAAATATTTTCCCAATCCTCACAATTTTAATCCGGAAAGATTTTCAAGTGATAGAAAATCGTCGATTAATCCCTATGTTTATCTTCCATTTGGAATTGGTCCAAGAAATTGTATTGGTAAAAATTTGCCATTTATGTTTCTAATAATCTTTTCCTATTTTTTTTCATCATTGCTTTTTAAACTTTATTTATTGTCTTTATTTTTTTATTTTTGTTATATTTTATTCACGTATTTTTTTATTTTATTCCTTTTTGCTTCCTCGTGGAGGAAGCTATGTAGTCCTTTCGTTTATAAAATTTTTAAAAATGGTGAAAACAAATTTTCCTCTATATAGAAACATGTTATATGAGATCCTGATCAATTGTCCGGATGTATGTGTGTGTGTATGTGTGTGTGGATCGTTTTTGTGAACACGATATCTTTAACAGGTTTTAATGGATTTGGATAAAATTTGGTAGGCTTATTTAACACATTAATCTCTCAAAACTGACGAGAGGATTTTTAAAAATACCCCAAAAAAAAAATTTTAGCGTCTTTTTTCCAAAAAAATTTTTTTAATTGAAAAAATTTTTAAATCGAAAAATTTAAGGTAATATATAATATAATCGTCTTCCTTATGTCAAGATGAATCGATTGATATATATAAAGTATAGATTTGATTAAAATTTAAAGAATTAATGAAAGTTAAAAAATCAAAAATTCTCATTTTAGCTAAAAAATGTTGTGTTTATTTAAATTCATGTTTATATATGAAATAAATTTATTCCCTGCATTGAAACAAATTGGTTGGTATATATAAAGTATAGATTTGATTTAAAATTTGAGAATTAATAAAAATTGAAAAATCGAAAATTCATATTTTAGCTAAAAAATTTTGTTTTTTTAAAATTCAAGTTGATGAATAAAATAATTGTATTCCTTGCATTAAAACGAATCGATTCGTATATATAAAGTTTATGTTACACTCAAAATTAATCAAAATTTTCTTTATTTTTCAAAAAATTTAATTAATTTAAAACATTTTTAACTGGAAATGTTTTAAATCAATCAATTGAATTGGACAAATTCATTGCTTCCTTCACGAGGAAGCGAATTTTTTGCTTCACACAATGAGGAAGCATAATGTTTATGAAATAAACATAAAGGACCCCCTCCTTGTTTTATATTTTATTTGCCTACTTTTTTGTTATTTTTTTATTATATTGTTGGAATTTTTTTTTGAGTTAGTAATAATTATTTTATTACAGGAATGCGACAAGGTCTCTTACAAACAAAACTTGGGATAATTTTCATTATTTCAAGATTTGAGATGTCATTGTTAGAAAATACTTGTATAAAATTTGATAAATTATCAGTGCTGAGTTCATCGAAAGGGGGTATATTTTTAAATGTCCGAAAACTCGACGAAAAGAACTGATTTTTTTTTACAATTTAGTATAATTATATGGAAAAATTATATTTAAAGCTAATAAAGGAACAAGATGGGATGCTTAGCGTTTGAAGCTGAATAAAACTAACATTATTATATGTATCTATATTTTATTATTTATTATAATAATCATTATTGGGAATCAGTCTTCCATGGCACCTAGCTATTTGTTCAATAGGTTCTTGCTGGAAAATTTACGATAGAATTCATTGAATTTATTTTGTTTGAAGTAAAATGCACTAGTTGGAAACAATTTTAGAAATCATTTTATTAAATCATTTAGATACAAATTTTTTTAATAAAAAAACTTTCAAAAAGTTCTGAATAACAAAATCAAAATAAAAAAAAATTATTCAATTTTATCTTAATTATTGAGTAAGTATAATTAACAAAATGTCTTTATACTTCTGCAATTTTTTTAAAATTATTCCTAATAACATGCAATTTATTCACACTCATTAAAATTTTACTTTTATTATTTTTATTTGCTGAATCATTATTTTTTTTTTTTTTTTATCTAGCTCGGTGATTTCTAGGATATTTAAAAATGTAGATATGTATATTTTTTAAAATTCTAAATGAATTTTTTTTGTCGTGAATAATTTATTATAATTATCAATTTTTAAAATTTGATTAAAGAATTAATTTTTTCTTATTTCTATTTTTGTATACATTTTTTTCTTTTTTTTATCTTTTGCATAGAAAGAAAATGAGGAAACTTACATGACAAGTTTATAATTTTTATTTAGTGAAAATCTAACAATTTAAGAATAAAAATAACGTTTTTATTGTGTAAGTATTAATTAAAATATTATGAGTAATTGCTAGTAATTAATTATTATGTGACATATGATTCTAATATATATAATTGAAAATTAAAAAATATATATTTAAAAATAGTATACACATATATACATATATAGTTTCAAAATTGAATTAAGTTAAAAAGTTTTTACCATAGCAATAGTTGATTTGGTAATGTTGTCATGGTAACGATAGTCGCAAATATATTTGAATAAAATATTTAATAAAACTAATTATTAATATTAACTAGAATTTGATAAACTCAATAAAAACAAAAACAAAAATAGAACCGTACAAAGAATTTTGACCACCCATTTTATGTAATGCGATTTTTAATTATTTTTTGCTAATTTTGAAATATTTTTTCTTTTTAATGTTTTATAGGGGCCACTGAGGGACTGGTCGAGAGAGTTCGCGATCTGTAAGTCAACTTTTTTAATTAATAACTAGCACAATTTTAATATTAAAATATTGTGTGTCCCTGGAAATAATTTGAAAGTGTTTCAACTTTTTTGACATTTTAAGTTTTAAAAAAAGTGATAGTTTATTCATTAGTGCTATAAAAAGTGTAAATAAGTATTTAAAAATAAATAATTTCGTAGTGACTATTCCAAAAAAAATTTCAATATTTTTATATTGAAAATGCGCTAATTTTTTATTTTTTAAATTGAGTTTTTGAAAGTGATTTTTTCTTTATAGTGCGCTTAAGTGTTTTGTGATTTCATATTAAAGTGCGATATTGTAATTAAAGGTTAGTATTATTATTATTATTATTTTTTTTTCTTTTCTTTACTTCAAAGAAAGTAGTTTGGTAAATTAAAAACCTCTCTTTTGGGTGTATACTTATTATACAGAAAAAAAGTTACTTAAATTGAGAAATATTTATATATATATTTATATTGATATTTAACCAATATCAATTAAATGTTTACTAACCAAAAATAATATTTATTAGAATCAAATAACTCGGATAATTTTTTTATTAACAAATCAAATTCTATTCTTTTTACTGAGAATATAATAGTATTATTTGATTCAAATAAATATTTTATAGTATAATAAAAAATTATATTAGTTATTTAAAAGCAAATATATTTTTCCAGTAGGGGTGAGTTGGGCAAAACGGGGTACACTTTTGGAATTCTCGGTTTACCAAGAATCTATCAAATAAATTAGTTCAACTCTCCTTGAAAGTTCTCCCTTGAACATTAGAGAATAAGAAAATAAAGTCGAATGCATGAAAAAAAAATTTCTTGATCAATTTAAACCAGGTTTTTCAAAAAAAAATGCAAAGTACCCGGTTTTGCCCCGATGGTGGGGCAAAACCGGGAACTATCAAGAAAATATATAAATCATAGAATATTCTTTAACTTTTTGTTCAATTATTATTATATATCACTTAAATTATAGAAAATAATTAATATTCAATAAATTTAATCAAAATATATTATATTAATAATGTATAACAGCAGTTAATTCTTTTAAAACCAAATTTTTTCATATTTTTATTAATTTATTATCATTTATTTATCGATATGGTAAATAATTGATATATCGAAAGTTAAACATCGATTTCGAAACATACATGTCGATTCTTTGGAGAAAAAATTTAAATATCCATAGTGTTATGTATTTATATATGTATATCCGACTTTGCCCCACCGTTTGGTACCCGGTTTTGCCCCGCACTGCATTTTTTAACAAAATGTAAAATTCTCAGCTTCTTGTTAATAATTTAACAATTACTTTTTATGAAAATTACTCGTAAATAAATGCTGAAAAAGATGTTATACTTCATGAAACGAATATATCGACACAAAAAGTTTTGTAAGTGATTTACTTTCGATAAAAAATGGATTTTCTTTTGATCTAAAATTTAAAAGTCGCTCACCGAAAAAAAATCCTCTTGTTTCAAGAGGATTTCTCTTATTTCAATGCATATTTTCCTCTAGTTTATGCTGCAAAAAGATGTCCTCTAGGTTTAAGAGGATTGTCCTTTATGTAAAATTATTCCTCTTAATTTAAAAGGATACTCTTATTTTAAGAGGAAAATATTATCTTAAAAAGAACTCTGAAATAATAAAAATGCAATCATCTAGTTTGTATGTCATAGATATAATTTATAAAATTAAAAGGAATAAAATTTGATATTCCATGATTTACATCTGTTTGAGTATAAATAAATTGAAATTGATTTTAATTTTTTTTTTTTTTTGAATAAAATCAACTAAATCTATTTTTAATAATATTTTTATGTGCAAAACATATAATTCATTAAATTTGAAAATTTATTTTAAATAAATTTTAAATAAAATTAAAATAAATAAAAATCGTAATAAAATAAAATTTTAAATAGCATAACCTCAAAATTATTTAAATTTTCTTCAAAATTACTTTTACCTTCAAAAATAGGCACGTATTGTGTAAGTTGCAATTCTATCAAGATATTTAAAAGATTATTATCCATTTTGGTTTATTCACCTTTTTTCACACAGAAACTAAAACTTTTTCACGTATATGATATGCGATTTATGACACGACGTAAATGATATGACGCAATCATCTTTGCGCATGAGCGACTTTCAATGGGAAATCCTCTTAGAATTTAGAGGAATATTCTTAAACATAGAAGATTATTCTAAATTCTAAGAGTATTATTTTTATTCTAAAAAGATTATTCTGAATATAAGAGGAATGCTCTAGAATAGTCCTTTTGTTTCGATCCTCTTGAAATTAGAGGAAAATAGTCTCATTTAAAGAGTAATACTCTTGTTTTAAGAATAAAATTCAAGAGGATTCTGTAAGAGGAATTTTCCTCTGAATACAAGAATGTATTTTTTTCGGTGCATAAAATATAATAAATAAATTTTTATATACTGGTTATATAATTAAAATGATGTTGGTTGTAATATAAAAGATATATGTAATAGGCGACACAAATGGAAATACCTATCATGGAAAACTTGGGGTACCCGGTTTGACCCGCCTACCCGGTTTTGCTCTACTCTCCCCCTATAGGTTAAAAATTTTTAAACTAATTTTTACTGTAAAAAGAAATATGTGTAGGAAACACCAAAAAAATATCAAATTTAAACATTTTCGACATGATTCTATACAATATTCTCAAATCACTTACTGTCGTATGTAAAAAAAAAATTATTCTCGACTAAATAAGGATTTCTAAATCATTTAGAAAGTTAATTAGACATTTAAAATATATAATATTATGATACCACTTATTTCACTATTTTTCAATGAAAGTGTCAATTGTGAAAAAGGTTGATTTTTTACTTTAGACTTTTTTACAATAACACTAACAGAAAAGTTAAAAGTTTGTAACTTTTTTTTTTATGAAATTGTATAAAATTGCAAAATCTAGAACATAATTGTAGTGAAATATATATAATTTTAAAACCAATTTGACATTTTTGGATTATACAAATCGCGGAATATAAATAGTAGATACTTTTAGAAATAAGACTCGTCAAATATACTTATTACATTTAGGTACATTTATATAAAAGTAATGATACTAAAAATGGTTGTAGATTAAAAATCATTAATTACTTTATTTTTTTCTAGTCGAAGTTTTAATTTTTAATGTTTATTAACTGTGTTAGTATAATAATTACACTTTGTTCATTATTTCTATGAGTATTAAATTCAACGAAACTTCTCGATCGGAGGCATAACTTGATTTTAATTGGAAAATTTAACATTAAATCTTGACTGTAGCGAGTGCGCAATGATGTCGACATGCAATTGAATTAACTTCATTTTACGAGGTAAATTTGTGAGAATTGCAGGAGAATTTATTTATAGTGTATTGTCTTTCCACAGCAAATGACTTTTTTTTCATCACTGCTCATATAGAGTCTGTATGTTTATTGACAGTTCCATATCATTACTTTGTATTATCAAAATTTGGAAAATTGAAAAAAATCATGGAAAAATATATAAAATACAAATTTTAAATCTGCAATAATAAATATAACTATTGTCAATAATTTGAATTCTATTTTCTCTCTTTTGTTTGTAAAATTTTGCTGGAAAATTTACATATTTATAACTGAAGTGATTCAGTTGCTGAATTCCAATTATTTTATCTATAGTGAAATTTCATTGATTCAAATTTAGAAAAAGTATTTATTATCATTTATATTAGGTATATTATATTATATTTAAAAAATATTTTTTTCTATAAATTTCTTTAAAATAGAAAATTTTATTTATTTCATGGAATTTTGTTTCGAAAATCATTCAACTGTTGTAAAATTTATAAGTTCTATATCAACACTGTAAAAAAATTTATTTAATTTAAATACTTGATTACTCGACTATTATGAAATAAATATTTATTGCAATCAAAT